TCTCCCATTTCAGACATGGATGAGGAGGAATTTCTTCCGTAAAATTTTAATCATTAAGGGAATCGAGGATCATGGAGAAAAGGCCGGAAATTGGAGTTGAAGATCATCACATCAGCCATCATCTCATTGAATGGCAGAACAGACTGGATGGTCTGAATGACCTACTTTTAGTTCCTACATCTTATGGTCCTATGGTCTTCATTGCAAGAGAATTTAAGTGCAGGAATAAGAATGTCTTGCTGCAACTGGACGGGTACTTAATGAGACCACACCTGGAGTACACTCTGCAGTTTTGGTTGTCTTAACTAGGAAAGAATATACTTTGCACAGGAGGAGAATAGTGAAAGTTTACAAGACTGATTTCTGAAATGGAAGGTTCGTTGTATGAGGAGAAATTGGGTCAAATAGATCTGTATTCACTGCAGTTTAGAAGAAATTGGCAGGGGTAGGATCTCATTGACATATATAACGTTCTGACAAGGCTCGACAGACTAGATGCAGGGATGATCCCTGTGACTGGGGATTTTAGAACAAGTCACAGTCTCACGATACAGAGTAGACCATTTAGGGCTGAGATGAGGAATTTTTTTTCACTCAGAGGATGGTAAATTCTCTACCACATATGGTATTGGAGGCCAAGTCAGTGAATATGCCTTAGAAGAAGAGGCAGATTTATGAACCGTAAAGATGTCAAGAGGAGAAGAAAGTGGGAGTACGATGTTGAAGTAGACGATCAGCCATGATCATGCTGAATGGTGGAGCAGGCCTGGCTATTTTCACTCCATGAATAATAAACAGCCTACTTCCAATTTCATGCTTTGCCCAAATATTAAAACAACATGTAAATAAAAGTTTGTTTGAAAAGAACAATTGACAATGGTTAGAGATGGCATGCACTTCAACTTGTACTTATAGAACATAGAACAGTACAGCACAGTACAGGCCTTCGGCCCACGATGTTGTGCCGAACTATTATCCTACTAAGATCAATATACCCTGCATATCCTACGTTTTACTATCCTCCATGTGCCTATCAAGAGTTGCTTAAAAGTCTCTTCAAATATCTGACTCCACTACCACTGCTGGCAGCGCATTCCACATGCCCACCACTCTCTGTGTAAATAACCTACCTCTGACATCTCCCCGAAACCTTCCTCCAATCACCTTAAAATTACGCCCCCTCATAATAGTCATTTCTGCCCTGGGAAAAAGTCTCTGACTATCCACTCTATCAATCCCTCTCATCATCTTGTACACCTCTATCAAGTCACCTCTCATCCTTCTTTGCTTCAATGAAAGAAGCCCTAGCTTTCCTCCTAAGACCTGCCCTCCAGTTCAGACAGCATCCTGGTAAATCTCCTCTGCACCCTGTCTGAAGCTTCCACATCTTTCCTATAATGAGGTGACCAGAACTGAACACAATATTCCAAGTGTGGTCTAACCAGGGTTTTATAGAACTGCAGCGTGATCTCACGGCTCTTAAACTCAATTCCCTGCCAATGAAAGCCAACACACCATACGCCTTCTTTACAACCCTATCAACTTGGGTCGCAACTTTGAGGGATCTATGGACGTGGACCCCAAGATGCCTCTGTTCCTCCACACTGCTGAGAATCCTGCCATTAACCCTGTATTCTGTATTGAAATTTGACCTTCCAAAATGAATCACTTCACACTTTTCTGGGTTGAATGCCATCTGCCACTTCTTTGCCCAGCTCTGCATACTGTTAATGTCCCGTTGCAACCTACAACAGCCCTCCACGCTGTCCACAACACCACCAACCTTCGTGTCATCGGCAAACTTACTAACCCACCCTTCCACATCCTCATCCAAGTCATTTACAAAGATCACAAATAGCAGAGGTCCCAGAACAGATCCCTGCGGAACACCACTGGTCACCGAGCTCCAGGCTGAATACTTTCCATCTACTACCACCCTCTGTCTTCCATTGGACAGCCAATTCTGTATCCAGACAGCCAAATTTCCCTGAATCCCATGCCTCCTTACGTTCTGAATGAGCCTACCATGTGGAACCTTATCAAATGCCTTGCTAAAATCCATATACACCACATCCACTGCTCTACCTTCATCAATGTGTTTTGTCACATCCTCAAAGAATTCAATAAGGCTTGTGAGGCATGACCTCCCCGTCTCAAAGCTATGCTGACTATTTCTAATCAAACTGTGCTTTTCCAAATAATAATAAATACTATCTCTCAGAATCCTCTCCAATAATTTGCCCACCACAGAAGTAAGACTGACCGGTCTGTAATTTCCAGGATTATCCCTATTCACTTTCTTGAACACGGGAATGACATTTGCCACCCTTCAATCTTCTGGTACTACTCTAGTGGACAGTGAGGACACAACGATCATCGCCAAAGGCACAGTAATCTCTTCCCTTATTAAACGTGTGTATATCCCATCTTGCTCCTCTGACTCCGTGCACAAGTTCCCTCCACTATCCCTGATCGGCCCTACCCTCACTCTGGCCATCCTCTTGTTCCTCACATGAGCATAGAACGTCTTGGGGTTTTCCTTGATCCTACCCGCCAAGGTTTTCTCATACCCCCTTCTAGCTCTCTTAAGTCCATTCTTCAGTTCCTTCCTGGCTTCCTTGTAGACCTCTAGAGCCCTGTCCGATCCTTGCTTCCTCAACCTTAAGTAAGCTTTCTTCTTCCTCTTGACTGTTCCACATGTCTTGTCATCCAAGTTTCCTTCACCTTGCCATCCCTTCCTTGCCTTAGTAGAACAAACCTATCCAGTACTTGTAGCAACTGCTCCCTAAACAACCTCCACATTTCTGTCGTGCATTTCCCTGAGAACACCTGTTCCCAATTTATGCTCAGTAGTTCTTGCCTAACAGCATTGTAATTCCCCCTCCCCCAATTAAATACTTTCCTATACCGTCTGTTCCTATCCCTCTCCATGAATATAGTAAAGGTCAGGGAGTTGTGATCATTGTCACCGAAATGCTCGCCCACCAAGACGTCTGACACCTGGCCTGATTCGTTGCCAAGCACCAAATCCAATATGGCCTCCCCTTTAGTCAGCCTATCTACATATTGAGTCAGGAATCTTTCCTGGACCCACCTGACAAAATCTGCTGCATCCAAACTATTTGCACTTAGCAGGTTTCAGTCTATGTTAGGAAAGTTGAAGTTGCCCATGACAACAACCCTATTACTTCTGCACCTTTCCAAAATCTGTCTCCCAATCTGCTCCTCAGTGTCTCTGTTGCTATCTCTTGTCAAAAGAAAAGTTCCAATAATGTGACTGCTCCTTTCCTTTTTCTGACTTCCACCCAGAAGTGGAACTTGTTTTTATTAGTGCTGCCAATTCTTATCTGTCAACATGAATACAGGTATGTCAACATTACAGATAAGCTTTTGTTATTTATGCTGAGGCTAATAAGTTTATGTAGGACCTCCCCTACTTCCTCTGACTCCGCGCACAAGTTCCCTCCACGATTTCTGAAGAAGGGTATAGGCCCGAAACGTCAGCCTTCCTGCTCCTCTGATGCTGCTTGGCCTGCTGTGTTCATTCAGCTCTACACCTTGTTATCTCAGATTCTCCAGCATCTGCAGTTCCTACTATCTCTAAGTTTATGTCATTCATTTGGAGCAAATTTCAGATTTGTTTGTCCACATTTTGGTCTATATTTTTTAAAAATTCTGGAGATAATGGCTAGTAGCAATCCCTAAATCAATTAAAGGGCATAAATCCCTAACAACGCTACACTGAATAAAGTTTCATGTAATCATCCTCACTCCTCTGAATCAGCTGCAATTTAGGTAGCTTTTCTGTTAGTCACTTTATGATGCCTACAACCTACGTAATTTGTAACTTTATAACATCGTTGGTCAGGTAAGATTGGTATATCTGCAGATGCAATTAACTTAATAAAATGTAAAGCACGAGTTAATCAGAAAATGTCTAAGGCCCAAATTGAACATAATTATTTTAATGTTCGTTGAACATTAGCATTATAAACTAATTTGAAATGCAACAGAAAATGAAATGAAACATAAATTTATTTCTAATAATAGATCTCAGAGAAAAAATTAATATTGGATTCTTTACGAGGTGGGCCATTATCCTAAATATTAGTCATATTAATGATAAAATATTGAACAAATACCTATGACTCCTATTGACATTTTTGTTCCTTGTTTCCATCCTTTAATCCATAAACCGGATGTAAGTTTATAAGCCTCGGTTCAATGGTAGTACTCTTGTCTCTGAGCCAAAAGATTTGAAGTTCTACCCCAAACACTTGAGCGCATAAACTCACCTGCCAATTTGGTAATGGAGTCACTGTGTGAAACCATCTTTCAAATTAACATGAACTGAGACCCTGCTTCTCTGAGGATGCCATGACACTAGTTGGCGAAGAGCAGATTAATTCAAGATCAAGATTATGTATCAATGCTGTTAAAGTAGATAGTATGATCACTTTGGGGACTGCCACATTTCCTGTTTTACAACAGTGATTGGGTATTTCAATGAATGGTGTTTTGAGGCCTCTCGAGTGAGATGTGCTGCATAGATGCAAAGATTTATTTTTGTTTATTATGCAGATAAAACTGATCTCCTATGGTATTAATCTAATATAGGATTACAAATGCTTATTTTGGGGTGTGGAATGCATATGATTCCTGGTGCTACCCTGACATATTTCCTGGAGTACCTGAGCGGTGGCATCGAAGTAGGAGATGTTCTTTAACTAAACGTGCAGTTACACTTTGTGACCAAGAACTATGACCCTTTTAGGTTTTCTTAAGGTTTGAGAAATGGGAGAAAAACCCTTTTATCTTTCCAATGCATTTTCTTACAAGCATATATAAAACACAAAATTATAGTTGAACAAGATATGGCGTCTAAATGTGATGGTGCCCTCAAAAAGAAATAACTGTCTTGTTTCTATGGCTAGCTGTTAGCAATATTTCTCCTTTCATATTGTACACATTGACTAGCATTATTTTTTATTTAATTGCAGCCGCCCTCAGAAGGTTTGTCTCTGCCCATTCCTACCAGTTCATCCGCTGAATGTCTCCACCTGTCTGTATATAGTTCAGCATCCAGCAGAGGTGAGTAAGATTATGCTGATGGGACATAAATCAGCAGCCATCTAACAGGAATAGGACTATGGGAAACTACAAGAGGAAACCATATCATATGAATCAATTGAGATTTCCACAAGTGCTTTTCAGTTGTACATCGGATGCAGTTATCATGAAATATGTAAGCTTGCCAGGAATTGGTTCTCCCACCCATTGCCATTTGCACACCCCGTCACAGTAACATATCATTATCTCTATTGCTCTGAAACCCGCTGCAGTGACCTTCAGTGTAATTTCCCTTTCCAGACATTTGACGCTGTTATTTGAGTCAAATGTCAGGGGATCTAATGTATTATGTTATGTTAGAGGTGACTGGTTTATCCAGCCTTTATAAGAGCAGTACGATTTAGTAATAGCAAAACATCCATCACTTTTTCCTTGGTCAGGATAATTTGAGAAATATTAAGTAAGTACAGTCAGATGGTTGGATAAGTGTCGCTATGAAATCATCCAGGGTTAGGTATGTCACCGAAGATCTGGCAGGAAGCCATTTATGTTTGACTTTGACCACACATCATTGAAGAAAATTGCATTAGACTTTACTGAGCTTGGAGTGCTATTCTGTGGTAAAGTCATCAATCCATCCCTCGCATCACTTTGTGTATGATGCACTTGGATGAAGTATGGATGGCAACCCTACTTCCACACCATAAACTCTTAAGATGTTGTCCTTCAAATTGTCAGTGTTTGTTAAAAACTGAGAGAACTACAGATGCTGTAAATCAGCAACAAAAACAGAAGTTGCTAGAAAAGATCAGCAGGTCTGGCAGCATCTGTGGAAAAAAAATCAGAGTTAACGTTTTGGGTCCAGTGACCCTTCCTCAGAACCCAGTCACCAGACCCGAAACGCTAACTCTGATTTTTTTTCTTTGCGGATGCTGCGAGACCTGCTGAATTTTTCCAGCAACACCTGTTTTTGTCAGTGTTTGTTACTGTTTTATCAAATTTACCTGAAGGAACAGTCAGGCAACTTACTTGAAAGCTTGTGTCAATTGATTGCTGTAAAATAGCTAAAAAGAAAATAAATTATCTCAATAACTTGTAAAATTTATCACATTAATACAGTCCACTCCTAAATGGAAAACTTTGACCATGAAAGTATAACAAAGTGTGTCAGGAGGTACAAACAATTTTGCAGGTAGGTGTAATCATGTTGTTAATTATCAATAGTATAAATTGGACATGAGTTCTTGATAGAGTTAGGCTGTGGACAATTGCATTATGATGGAGATTTCTTCACTTGGAGAAGAAAAAATGATTGTGTTATGTTGTAAGTGTTTATTTTGGAAGGTAATTGCAGAGCAGAATGGGTGCAGATTGCAGAAGGAATTTACATTCTGCCATGTACTGCCCTGATAAATTAAATAGCACAGGTGCAGGAGATCTAGTGGAAGAAAATAATTCTCATTTATCTGGGAGGATAATGCATAGAATATGAAGAGAAACTAAGAATTTTCTATGTGAGTAAAATTGTACTTACTTGACTAAATCCATGAATTCCAAATTAATTTATCAAATAGAATGAACAAAACTAGGATTACAACTCTGAGAGAGATTCTTCACTGCCAGTTTAATTGAATTTCTGGTAATAACTAAAGTTTTTAAAATTATTATGATAGCAGTCGTGAGGTTCATGATTAGCCCGTGCACAGATTAACACTTTTAAATTGAAAATTGCTGCTCTGTTTCAAGCATGTTGGTGCTCTATCCAGCTATGATCAACAGCCTGATTGAATATGATGTCACCCTTTTTTGTTTAGTTCCTTTCTGAAAAGAGAACTTTGGTGTTGTGGAAGTATGACAGATAATTAATATTATTTAATTATTTTCCCTCTAACTACGTCCAATCTGCAGCAACCTACTAATAAATCCAGAAAGAGTAAGTTTCCTTGATCGTTACTGCAGGCAGATTTGTTTAGATAAATGTCTTGGAACTTGAAAGATGGCAGGTTAGGAGGAAATCTCAAATCAACTCTCTCATTTTTGGGGTTGAATTTTAGTCAGTCTCAATTCCAGAAGTTGTCTTGACAACACCCTGGAGGAGGTTCCTTGAAGAAGCAGCCAATTAAGGGACTCTCCTGCAGGTATTCCATTGGCAGGCTCTTGAACCGGGAATACCTCGAGGAAGGCCGAAGACTGTGTGGTTTGCAGCCTCACTAGGAAAAATGGGGCTTCCAATGTGGTGGAGAGGCCCCTGAGAAGAATTTGTCACAATTCCTGGGGAGACTGATTTACTTTTGAAACAAGGAGTGTATAGCTCAACAAGGTTTCACATTTTAAGACTTTTACTATAACAGACAAACTAAAATCAACATTGACTAAACATTACTTAGTTGGCAACTTATACATTAATCTGCAGGAAAGATATCCCCATAAACTTTCTAACATCAAAAAACAATTGTTGCATTTCAGCATTACACTACATTCAAGACAGGATAACAGTCTTTACAAAAAGCCATCCAAACTTGCACACAGCTTTCAATAGACTTGTTTCTCCCAATTTTACTGAGACACAATGTCCAGAGCCCACCTAATGTCTTCTAAGAATTTTGAGCTGTTCTTTAAAAGCAAAGCCCTCTCTGGCGACTCCATCTGTTATCCAGGACAAATCTTCCAGTGTCCTCAAATCTCTACAACTCCAGTGACTTCAAACAGAGAATGAGCTCCTACCTGGTGGCGAGAAGAAAATAGTTTATTTCTCAGCAGTTGCTATTTTGCTGTCTTTTTCGCTGGGACTGTCTGTCTATGCATCTCTCTCTCTTATTATCTGTTTTTCTCTGTCTGTCTCTGTCTTTTGTTTTTTTTTCCTCTCTCTCTCTCGGTCTCTCTCTCTCTCTCTCTCTCCTGGCCTCTCGTGCTTACTCTCTGACCAACAGCACCTCCCCCCCCCCGGTCCCCTCTCTCAATTTCTGTCTGTCCGTGTCCATGATCTCCACATCAATAAATTTGAAGGTCTGTTTGTTTGCCTACAGCTGTTCCTCTGTGTGTGTGTCTACGTTTGAAAGCTGCCCCTTGGCTTTCAATGGAACATGACTTGGTCCCAATGACATCTAGGTCACATCAGCTAATTGTCAGACGCAACTCCTCTCCTTTATTCCATTTTATATTGGAATACAGAGACATCTTAAAACATTACTGTCTTGGAAAAACTCACATTCATAATGGTGTATAAATGGAATAAAAGGTATCAAAGTTACATCAATATTGCTGAGGGGGGAGTACCTTCGTAGGATGGTCTGTGGCTGTGGCCTTTTAGTACCCAGCAGATCTGTGTTGATCTGCATTGCTGAGTGTAGCCCTGGCCTCTCTGGTCTGGTACCAGGAAGGTTTCACTATTCCATGTGGTGGCTGTGGTCACACTGGGGTGGGCCTGGTGGGAAAATCCAGGTGGCAGGTTAAATGGTATCCCAATTAGTCCTTTAATTAACCTAACGGGCTATACCGTACTAGCTGGCAGGTGCTGCTGACCCACCAGAAGCCACTTTTCAGGTAAAATACAATCTCATTATTTGAGAACAGATTTATGTGTTAACTAAAGTGAGAGATTTTCTAATGTACTGGCTTAAAACTCTGAATACTCTATGTCCTTTTCTTAAATCAGGGGAGTCGAGTACTGCGAACCGTGCCTCTGCTAGCTGCCTGTCTTCCAGCTGACAAATGCAAGGTCTTTGTTGGTCGGCGTTTTAGTGAGGACAGGTAAAGATACGTACTATTTCATAATTGTATATTTCAACACTTTCAAAGTGTGCTGTTTGTTGCAAACTGCTCTGGGACATCCTCTAGTTAGAAAAGACCTTATATGAAAGCAAGTTGTCTTTCCTTCTTTTCCCCTCTTAATATGTCTCTCTTTTATTCTCCTTTTCTTTTCTTTTCCCTTCCTTCCTCCCTCCTTTCCTCCCCACCCCTCCCTTTCTTATCTCTCCTGCCATCATAAAAGTTAAAAATGAGATATCAGAAAAGTGGAAAGCTTGCGTAACTACCTGATCAACTTGGGAATAAATGGTCTCCTCGATTATCATAGAAATGGATTTAACATATAAATGCCGACAAACAGGTATCAAAATGCTGTTTTAAAATAAATTAAAATGTGTAATTAAAAATAAGTCACTTCGACCAACAGATTGTATAAGACATGAAATAATAACAATTTGGCTTTTTAGTTGCTAACCTAAACTAGACAGAATTGCTTTCTGTGGAATAATGCTGAATCCATAATTTCATTAACCTTCATATACTACAGTATAACATGCAGCTAAGGTAGCCATAATCCACAATGGACCATCGGTCCATACACAATGTGGTAAAGTGAAAGGTGGATAAAGGTATCTTGACTAACCTTGATCAGTTTGTAATAACCGTTTTTAACTCGGGCATGTTACGTGGTGAGATAGACTAAAGGGGACAAGAGTCGGGGAAGACCCAACACAACTTTATCGAACACTTTATCAAGGAAAAGTTATATTTATTGGACTCTATTGTTGTATTTAAACTCTATCCAGAGTTTACTTGGCCATTCCCACGAATGTGGGGGAGCTGCTGGCGTTAATTTTTATGCCTGTTGGGACTCTGGATACTGCCCCACCAATGCGGCTTTGTCTGCATCCAATTTGGCTACCAGACATAACTTTTCACCAATATCTTCATTTTGGAAACCCCTGGATGAGTCTGCTGGAGTTTAGCCAGTATCTGGCAGTGACCTTTGCTCGGAAAAATCACTCTTGCTCCCCATAATAACATGCTGCTGTGCTGTATTGTGATCTGGTCTTTCTGGGTCCAATAAGGTTTCAATTCTGTTTGTGATGGCCCTTTGGTTTCACTTGTCACCACTAGCTGTTTCAGTTTTGCAGGATCAGATCTTTCTGAGTCCAAAGTCTGATATTGTCAGCTGTGACTGGAAGTGTGTCCAGAAAATTTAAAACTATTATAGACTCTTCCAGTGGCAGGACCATCGGCCATGTTTTTGCCAACGGAAGGCAGCTGAATGCATCCCACACTCCCGGACAACATTCCATCTTGTAACTAAATGCACTTATTATTAGAGTCCACCACTGAATTCAGCCTGAAGCTATGGGTGGCACTGCCTTGTCCTCTTTAAGTAGACCTAGCAGGGGTTTGTGGTCCATTATTATTATAAATTTACGTTTTTAAAGTTATTGGTGGAATTTCCTGACTCCAAATATGACTGCCAAACCTTCCTTCTCTATCTGGGCGTATTAATGCTCTGCATTAGCCAAAGTCCTGGATGCATTTGCTATTGGGTGTTCCTCTCCATTGGGCCACCTATGATGTAACACTACCCCAATCCATATAGGGAGACATCACATGTCAATACCAGATCTTGCTTGGGAGCACAATGTGCCATCACCTTAGAGGATGATAGCTGTTTCTTCACTTCCCTGAAAACAGTAGCTTGGATACGTGACCATTTCCGAGGCTGACCCATTTTTAAGAGTTGACATAAGGGTGCCAGAATGGAGACCAGGTTATGCATGAACTTTCTGTAATGAATCACCTGCCCAAGGAAAGACCCAAGCTCCTGTACAGACATCGGAGCCGTGGTACCTTTGATTGTCCTCGCTTTATCTTTCAATAGGTGTAATCTAGTCTTGTCGACTCTGTAGCCCAAGTAGGTCACTTGGGGTGCAGAACACACATTTTTCCCTTCCCTCCCACCTGGGAAAAACATCTCAGGACTGTGCCCATGTTGTCTAAGTGCTCCTTATTGGACTTCCCTGTTATTAGCTTGTGATCAGTTGGTACAAATCCTTATGGATATTAATTGTAGCATAATTCTGGAATTCCTTATCTAACTACAATTGCAAGTATACTTGGCTCATGGCCTGCTTCATGAAGGGCAATGTTTTCACACTGAGTGTGGTGCATGTATAGAATGAGCTGCCTGACGAGGTGGTAGAGGCAGGTACAATTGCAACGTTTAGAGTCATACAGCATGGAAACAGACCCTTTGGTCCAACTAGTCCACACCGACCGTGCTCCCAAACTAAACCAGTCCCACCTGTCTGCATTTGGCTCATATACTTCTAAACCTTTCTTATTCATGTACTATCTAAATGTATTTTAAACATTGTAACTGTACCTGCATCCACTCATTCCACACACTAACCATTTTCTGTGTAAAGAAGTTGCCCCTCATGTTGTTTTTAAATCTTTTTCCTCTCACCTTAAAAATATGCCCCTTATTTTTAACTCCCCTACCTCAGGAAAAACACCTTTGGTTTTCACCCTATCTATGCCACTTATGATTTTATAAACCTCAATAAGGTCACCCTTCAACCTCCTATACTCCAGTGAAAAAGAGTCTTGGCCTATCCAGCCTAATTTTATAGCTTAATCACTTTATTCCCGGCAACATCCTGGTAAATCTTTTCTGAACTCCCTCCAGTTTAACAAAATCCTTCCTATAGAAGGGCAACCAGAACTGCACACAGTACTCCAAAAGTGGCCTCACAAATGTCCTGTAAAACCTAAGACATTTGGACAGGTACCTGGATGGGAAGGGTTTAGAGGGATATGGGCTAAATGCAGAAAGATGGGACTAGTTCAGTTTAGGAACCTAGTCCGCGTGGACGAGTTGGGCCAAAGGGCCTGCTTTCCTGCTGTATGACTCTATGACTCTAAATCTTTGAAGATGGCAGGAAAAATTGAGTCCACTTCTGAAAATACTGCTACTTAAAACAGCTCTTAGATAACTAATTCTATCATTTTACAGGTGCTTAAGAGAGTTTATTAGGATGATAGTCAAATTGTTCCTGTTCTTTTTCTGGGCAGGATACACCTGAACACTTATACATTGTTGAGCCAATGTCAGTGACATAACTCGATTTTAATATCTTGGCTTAATAATTAACTTTATTTAGCACTACATCCTGTGAACCTGTCAGGGCCCAAAAGTCTTACTGCTATCGTCCGTGCTCATAGCTGCTGTTAATACCATATTGGCTGGATGTTGCCTAACCCCACTATATAATACAGCTGTTGTTGTCAGTTAACCCTGAGTAATATCCTAAAGTTGCCAGTTCCTGTGAAGAATCACCATTTTCTAGGAATTCTCAGAGCTGTATGCAAATGTTCTGCAGAAATCTAATGAAGCAATTTGAAACATGCTTGATACTTGGAACTTTTACATGTTTGAAGTCTGGTTTTGTGAAGTTCTTGACTGACAAATTAACTCCACTTTCCAAATTTATTAGACTGACATTCACTCAATTAAAGATGCCCAAAATTAAATTACAGAAGCAGTAAGGTAAAATATAAAATAATTTAAACACATATACTTAAATAAATGAAACCGAGGAACTAGTACCATTTCGAATTAAATTTGATCTAGCCTTAGAAGCTGTAAAGCAGCATTGCATTTTTTTCACATGAACCACAATATATTAACAACTCAGTTGCAATGAGTGTTCTTAAATTATGATCACCTGATACTGGACATTAATTACACAGAAAACCTCTGACTAATTTCTTCTTGAACTCAACACTAGTAAAATTTATGTTATTGGGATTTGATAGAAAACTCTCTACTGATTGGACTCATACCTAGCACTAAAGATTGCTCTAGCTGTTGAAGGCCAATAACCACATTCCCAACACATCACTGCTGCTTATGTCAGTCTTCATATAATACAATTCATTCCGTAGGATGTCACGAAACAGCTGAGGATACTGACTGCTGCACATCAGTGTGCTAGGTCCAAATTCAGCTGCTTCATCAGTTACCTGTCCTCTAACATAAAAGACAGAAACCGTTACTCGAAGGGATCAAAATTGATAAGGAAGAAGTCTTGAAGCGATTATTGGCACGTAAAGTTACCAAGGCAAGTTGGTAGTGTATGGAATGCACTGCCAGTAAAATTGATGGAGGTGGGTTCAATTGAGGCATTCAAGAGAGCATTGGACGGTTTTTGGAAAGTAGTGGCGTGCAGAGATATCGGGAAAGGGCAAGAGATTGGTCCTAGATCTCAGTGCAAGCACACTGGGCCGAATGTCCTCCTTTTGCACAGTAATAATTCTGAGATCCTGTGATGATGTCAGAAGTGGGAATGTTTACTAATTGCACAACCGCTCGTCAGATACTGAAGCAGCCTGTGTCCGCCTGCAGGGAGACCCAAAACAGCTTTCAGACATTCAACATTAATTAGTAGCAAATAATTTTCATCTACAAAAGTGCCAGGTAATGACCATCTTCAACAAGAAAGAAACTAATCACTTGACATTCAATGCATTACCATTACTGAATTCCCACTATCAACATCCTAGGTGTTATCATTATCCAGACATTTTACTAGCGCAGCAATATTAGTGATTCAATGAGCAGGTCAGAGGCAGAGAATTCTGTGATGAATAACCCCTTAAAGTCTTAACCCTTTAAAGTGTCCAATGTCTTAACATCCCAGCAGCTACTTGTCATAAGTCAGTAGTGAGATGGAATGCCTGGCTGTTCCAGCTATACTAAGAAACTTTACAGCATCCAAGACATCCATCTATCATCTTAAACATTCATTCCACCACAAAATGTACAATGGCTGCAGTGCATACCATCTATGAACTGTGCTGCAGCAACTCACCAAGTCCCTCTCCAGCATCTTCTAAACTTGTGATCTCTACCATCTTGAAGGTCAAGAGCATTTGATACATGGGAACACATTTCTGTGTAAATTCCCCACCAAACGACA